GCAATTTCACAGGCACCGCAAGAGCAGTGCCTGTGAAATTATAAGAAATGGTTTTAACCAATACTTTGCAGACAAAACTGAAAACGAAAGCTCAGAGGAATCATAAGACATCTTAAATATCAATTCCTAGCTCCACTCTTTTCACCTGCATCCCACCAACCCTAAAGAAATCGATATGTCACCAAATGTTGGTTGTTCCACTGTACAAATATAAGGGGAATTGAAGGGAAGCCAAAAACTATAGAGCAGAGGTGATTCCGCGCCACAGTTAAAATATATGAACAATGTTCAAAAGGCAAAATTATCACGAAAAATTTAATATTCTAGACAGCTCACAGCATGGGTTCTGAGTTGAAAAGTCCATCGTGACTGCATTAGATGAAGATATATCTCACATCTATCAAGCATTAAACAACAAAGAAAAAATTATGGGATTACTCTTTGATATGAGCAGAGATTTCGACACACGTGACCATAATTTGTTGAAAATTAAATTCTGTCAGATAGGTGTTAGAGGCCCCTGTTTGTACTGGATTAGATAAGATAAGATAATTTATTGATTTTTTAGATGTATACGAATAAGATACAAATAAGATAAATACACACATACATTATTACCCAAGAATGAATATTATACTGAATCCACTGGCCCTCTAGTCTCATGATCGTGGAAATCACAATTTCTGTTTAATGTTAATTCATTTTTATGAATATCTATCAAAATTTGATACAGATAAATAGAAGGTACTGTCATTATTTTCATCGAAAGGAAATGTAATAAATATCCTATTTGAGTTAGTATTATTTTCCCAGAAGAATTCTTCTGTATGAGATGTGAGAATGGAAAAAAGCTTAGTAAGCTGAACAAGATGGGAGAAAATCACAATGAGCCAATGAGGTCAGAGTTCCCAAATAGAAGAGAAAAAAGTCAATTGAATATGCTTTTTTGTGCAGTCTGATATTGTAAGTGACAGTTTTCAGACTGCACTATAAAAAACACAAAACCAGATGTTCAATCTGATTTTTTATGAGTGTACTAAAAAACCACTTTTCATGAATGAGTCTTTCATTTTAATAATAATAATAATAATTCTTTATTGGTGTGATGACATTAAAAATGTTTACACAAGTCAGGAAAGGATAAAGACATAAAAATGGTAATATACATATATATAGTAATACAAAGTACAAAAAAAAACTTATTGTAAATACTACAGTTCACAAATCTTTGTAAAATCAGCATNTAACCCCACCTACCGTATATAGTTTCGATAATATTCATGTTGTTACAACCGTACCCTGTCGTAACCGTACTAGGGGAGTCTGGGTACGGTTAGTTAGGGAGTACGGTATAATGGGTAACACGGTACGGTTGGTAACATGGTACGATTAAAACAGGTTATAACAAGTTATTATTTGTTAACAAATAATCGCAAGTTTGCAGATTTGTTAATCTGAATGAATATTAGCATTTTCCAAAAGTTTTGTCCGTTTTTATGGGTCTAATACAAAGTGTAATGTCTCAGCAATTACTTATTAAACTTAATTTGATATGGGACATTCGAATTCAGTTGGCAACTTCAATTGTTTACCTGTTATATGTTTTAAATTTATTTTCATTTACCAGTTGTCATTTCAATATTTTTTCAACTGGGCATATGTATTTAATATCTCATGCACTTAATAGATGATTGAATAAAATAATTTTTATAGGATGGTGGAACTAGGTAAACTTCAAATTAAGAGCCGGGCTCAAGAAAAACGGCAGTTTCAAGTGGATCCCCAGATAAGAAAAAGCAAAAATAAAGCAGGAATCGTGGAAATGAGAATTATGTCTTGCGTAGACTGTGGAGAAGATTTTTGTAATGGTAAGTTGTTTTTTCTTAATGGTAAAATAGATATTCGAGTGGTAATTATCGTAGGTAGATCCTGCAGCAAATTTGGATACGATTCGTTTGTTAGAATACAAGAAACACCAAAAACGTCTCAGAAAATTATGTCTCCAGCATCAGGTACTAAGATAAAGAGAAAAATAAAAAGAAAGTCGCGATCCAGAAGCAAAACGAAGAGCAGGGATAAATCCAAATCCAAGTCTCCTAGAAAAAGTCCATCAAAATTCAAGACAAATAAATAAAGTTTTGAGAGAAATTAGTAACAAGTGTAATGACAGTTGATAAATATATTGGGCACAAATAGAATTTGGTGTCTTACTCCAATGAACAATTGTTTCATTCCTCTCCTAGACTCTTTATTTTATTACCAACAAAGTCTGAGCAGCTTCAACAACTAAATTCATCATAATCAAAAAAAAGTTAGCAGAAGTATTAATTGCAAAAAAATATGCGTAAAAAAAACAATGAATAAAATATTGAAGTAAAGATGTGAATAATTGAATTGAATATTGTAAAATTCTATAGGTTATTCAGTTTTTTATCACTCGAAAAACGAGGTGAATTAATGATATTGTATGGTGGTATTAATGAATTTTTCAAATATTGTAAAAAGAGTCAACCAACTTTATTGACCATTTACCAAATTCAGGTACAAGTATTATCACACCAGACTACCTGTATCAATATAAACACGCTTCACATAATTTTTCTGGTCTTTAGCACACCTAAAATATGGAAGACCAGTCGGACATCATATTTTGCAACAAAACCAAAGACTTCAGTTCATCAAGATTAGTTAGACAAGTTAACAACAAGAGGCATCTGGATGCCTACGAGGGTGTGGAAATAAGTAAACATAATAATATTATAAATAACGATGGTGGACCAATACCTAATGGTTTACTATATAGCTTGTTGAAACAATACTTTGATTATCAGATTTACCTGACTATTACATAAGGCCACAATGTAAAATTAATTCAATACTAGTAGATGAGACAACATTGTGAAATTAATTTAAGATAATTAAGACGAAGGTACCTAGCAGGGGTATCTTTGGTATAATTAAGGATAACTTCGTATGTATATTTAGTTTAATCTTCCTCCTGAAGATGATCACTTGGTGATCGAAACACGTGTTGACATGTTGAAATAACGATTTAGTATTTTGATAAAACTCCAGTATTATTCAAATCTCTCAAAGCTAAAATTGATATAGCTAGTTAAAACTACACAAATTCGTGTTTCAACATAATTTTCTATACTATAATGGGGTGTATCCCGTAATAGTATGTTATTCAATGAGCGAAGAATGTTGTCATTACTCGCAAGAATGAATTTTATCGTCGCGAGTAATCACAATTTCTCGCGAGTAGAATACTATACATTTTATACGACTTATTTTAGGAATATCTTAAAATAATATTCATGTGTAAAGGGTATTCTGAGTTGAATAATATCAAGATTTCGTAACGAGAAATAACCTAAAAAATTATTCAAAATATTTTCTATTATTATTTTATTCAATTTCGATTAGATTGAAAATTTGATGGTGAAAACAAAAAAACGGCCTCGTTCAGAAAGATTTGAACTCAGAATTCTAGTTTCCATCAACTGCTCCACATATATACAGGCCGTTTCTTTTATCATGTGGTAACATTGCTATATTCTAAACTGTAACAGATAAGACAATTAACTGGGAAAAAAGGTAACTGTCATCGGGAACAATACAATGGTCGAAGAAAATTTACGGGGACTCTCGCTCTTCTCGAGTTATACGGGAAAACCAAAAAATGCTGTTTTTCGTTTTTTTCGAATGGAATTACTTCAGAGAATATCAAAAAAAGGAAAAGGAAAATGTTATTGTATTCGAAGTATACTATGACGATGTAATAATAAATATTCTATAAAACGTTTCGTATGAACATGGCCACCATCAACCTTTTTTTTTAATACGGACCTGTCTTTTTTATCATAGATATTTTATATAAACATAATGAAGCATTGCCGACATAAAAAACCATTGATTGACATTATCTTTCTTAGTGTGAAATGGATTTAAGCTTATTTATCAGAAAGGAACTATGAGGCAAAAGTCTCAAAATTATATGAGAAGTCGTACTTTGGGACCCTCTTTTTTCATAAATGTTGTCATTTGAAGGTAATTAAGTAAGTGCCTGCAATGTTGCAACTTTAGACATTTCCTCGAAACTATGCAGATGTCGCTTGGTTCTCTTCTGATAAAAATGACCCAAATGAATAATTAGAATATGACTTTGAACAATACAAAATTAAAGTAATTGAACGTATTGTTCTGATGTTCTTTTAGGTTGACAATATGTGTTCGGATATTTCCAGAATTTCATTTGGAGTAAACCTATTTTGATCCAGGATTAATTTAAGTTTATTTGTTGGTTATAAGGTACTATTTTCTAACATTGCAAGTAAATCCGCTGAAATTCATACATTTATTTATGGAAAAATAAATACATTCATATGTATTAACAATCCTAAACTTCGTTGCGTCTACATTTTAAAATTAATCCTATTGAAAAGATACAAATCCAAGTTGAATAAATAGTATAGAATTGGTACATCTTATATAATAAATACAAACTAATGAAACTCCCAATGACTATAAAATTACTTTCAAAAAAATTTATATATAAACAGTAATAACAGTTGAATAATAAAAAAATCGTTTCTCCTATTGTAATCTAAGAGGTAATAACGAATTTATAGAAGGTATTTTGAGCAACACGAAATTATTCAATTCTAATGATGCGTCATCAACTTATTACATCTCTCAAATTAATACCATTTGTAGAATTGCCTTCAGCTCATTATCTACAGGTATATGATACGAATCATGACAAATTATTCTTATTTCCGAATTCTACTCATAAGAAAGAAACATATGTTTTTTTTTCAAAATCATTAGGAATACCTTGTTATTAAAATTTCAAGTGATCAAAATCTGGTATAATTTACTCAACAATAAATGTAGTATCTGAATTTTGAGTGAGTGAGTTATCACAGAGAGAAGTTCGGTTCTTTTTAATAGTCTACTGAATATATTTGATCAAAAAGTGAAAGTTGATGACGCGTTATTTGAATTTTTTTGCAAATACTGTACAATAATAAAATTACTGCAATATATCCCTCAGACTCTTGACTCTTGATTTACTGACATTGATACAGTAAGGTTTTTTTATTTCAATACCCTGTACAAATTCGTCATTAGTTCTTAAGCTAACGGTAAAACTATTTATACAATTTCAGATCAAAATCAATATGTTTACTACCCGCTATATTTCCATTCAACATGTCAATTCAACTAAACTTTCTTCAAAAGAAAGAATACTTTCATGTGCACTTCATGACCTGTCATTCTCTACTTAGCAAACTATTTGATATATAACTTTATTCAATACATCTTCTGAAATTGGCTTCATTGAATAGTTCTTGGAAGCCCTACCTGGCAGATTCGTAACCGGGAAAGAGTAATTTCAATGCACCGCTCAAATTATTATTTACTTCCATTGAATAATTCTTGCCCAAATCGTGCCTGCAATGGGGACAAGTGTAGATCTCTGAAGAAAATGAACGTCTCAAACATGCCTGGAAATAATAATAGTTTTATTAGTCTCAAGAAACACACAGTTTTTAGACACGTCAATACATTTTCAAAATAGGTTTAAGAGGATAAGATTCGTCAATATAGTTTCTAAAAAATGCTTGTAGATAAATCAGAGTTACAAAAAAATACAAGTTAACAAGATAGAACTCCAATCGTATAAAAATTTACTAAAATGTAAAGTCATGAGCTTTACAAATTATAAATCACATATCTAACATATTATATATAATCAAAGTTGAGTAAAAGTTCGGGAGGTGACCACGAAATGAAAGAAATTTGAATTAGGCCAAATAAACAAGAACTCAAACTCTAGTTCGTCGACAAGACAAACAAGAGCGCCCGACTCACGGTCGGAAGATCGTGGGTTCGATTCCCGCCTTGACCAGATATTTTTCTTGAAAGAATTTATCTGGTTGAAGTGGGGATGATTCTGCAACCGTGTTAGGAATAACACGTTAAAAGGTAAGACCTCGTTAGTCCTTAGCTCGCATAAGTTTCTCAATTTCTTAGAGTTGTCGTTCTTATGGGGGCGACAGCTGATTAATAGAAAAACAGATTTTTTTTGTAACAGACTTTGATCCAAATATGGCGATAGTTTCAAATTGAAAAAAATAATACCTACAGTTATCAAAAATTTCTGCAGTTTCGTTCCCAAGCTATTAGTCTATGAAAGTTTGTGTCATTGTCAAATTAACTTGATAGAACAGATCTGTGATTCTGAATTATTGATTTGAACTTCATATTTTATGTCACCCCTACTAGGATTAGAATTAAACTTCGGAATGTAAACAATCAACATGTATCCTAGATTAACCAGAATGGATACCCATTAACATTAAAAGCATTTAAAAATGTGAAACATAGAAATTCTTCCATAAAATGGAATTGTGTTTAATGATGATGTGATTAATATTATAAAGTGGTATGGACACGCCTGTCGTATAGTAACTGAACTATTATTTCATTTTGAACTGAAAGAAGGCATTCGTAGCTGATGACAATTGTTAACCCTTCATGTGATTACCAACACAAGAAAAAATTAGTTTCATACAATATGTTCCTACTTGTACAAGCCATATCTTAACTTTTATGAGGTTTTATTGAAAACAATCATTCATAATGAGACTAGAAACCCAATTTAAGAAACAAGTACATAAGACGAGTCTTTGGCTGAAGAACTTTGTTAAACAGATTCAACTTCAACCTAGGGACACACTTTTTGAAAGAAGAACTCTGCAACACAGAAAACTTAACGTACCATTATTCTTTCGTGGATAATGAAGCCAGTGGAAGCCATCTAACCACAAACTACCAAACAATCAAAGCTCCTAGGCCCACAATTCCTTCAGTACAATGAACATCAATATACAGGGATTGTCTGGCAAAATTTTGGGTTCAGAAATATCACTGGACAAGCAACATATCAATGAAATTTGCCCATGGTGGTGTAGGGAAAAAAGACATAACATTTCGAATACTGAATTTTATCAAAGTATGTATAGAAGAGCTTGGATAAGAAAACGTTGCTCAAAGTATTCAGTAAGTATGATATGAAAGAAAGAACAATTTCTCCCACAGCTATTACAAAGTTCTACAAAACTTGCATTGATAACATCTATACCGATGTCCTAAATCTTTCAATACAAGTCATTGATAAGGAAATGGCAGATCATACTTATCAATTAATTTCTTTCCGTATCAGCCAGGAAACTGATAACTCCATTACTAAGGGTAGAATATTCAATCAAGACAGGATTCATGGAAAATATGATACCTGTAAACTGGGACAGAATTTTAGATTATCAAATACATTGTGGGGGTTCTTTCTCACTTTTTACAACATATTTTTTAAACTATTCTAGTTAGTCATCCCAGTAAATACATTTCCCAATAATAATAGGAAAAAGAAAAAGTCTTACAATATTGAACAATGATAATTATACATAAATGGCTGAGAAAATATTACGAAAACAAGTCACTATAGCAATGAAAACATTTAACAATAACACCGCTCTAAGAGCGGTGCCTGTGAAATTATAAGAAATACTTTGCAGACAAAACTGAAAACGAAAGCTCAGGAATCATAAGACATCTTCAATATCAATTCCTAGCTCCACTCTTTTCACCTGCATCCCACCAACCCTAAAGAAATCGATATGTCACCAAATGTTGGTTGTTCTACTGTACAAACATAAGGGGAATAGAAGGGAAGCCAAAAACTATAGAGCAGTGGTGATTCTGTGAACAATGTTCAAGAGGCAAAAATATCACGAAAAATTTGATATTCTAGACCAGGGATCTCCAAACTACGGCCCGCGGGCCAAATCCGTTTTATTTACTTGCAAGGTAAAACTTAACGACAGAAATGATGACAAAGAAAACTTAACTTAAGTATCTAAATTTATGCATATTAATAACTGAAAAATAATTGAAATGAATCACAGTAAAACAAAAACACTAATGAGATTTATGTAATTGTGATTTTCCACTGACAATACTTTGTAGTTGTGGATCAATTTTACTTGTACCAATTATCAAAAGAGATTTCAGATGCTCATCGGTTAATTGAGATCTGTAAACATTCTTTGTGTACTTTATCTTGGAAAACGTTTTCTCACACAAGTAAGTAGTACCAAAAACAGAAAACAACCCACGAGCAAATTTATGCAGATTATCAAATTGTTCCAGTGGAATACTCTTATAAAATTTCAACAAAGATGAATTTTGATATTTGTTCTTAAGCATATCACTGCTTAAGAGCCAGGGTTTCAATGTCAGAATCAAAAGGATTTTGAAAAAGCTTAATTTCATTCGCAATGATATCAAAATCTAAAAAACGAGTATCGAAACTTATCTTCAAAGCACTCAAAGTTTCGATTGCAAAATTGACGGGAAATTTGCTATGGTTTCATTACAAATTAAACATAGCGCCTTATTACTGGACTCAATCACAAAATACTGAAAGTTCTATTTTTCTTGGAACGTTCTGCAGTCACTGTCGATTTTTCACTTCTCTTCCATACTAACAAAACACACATAAAAACAAATCAAAATACTTTTATTGACGGGTGTTACTTTATTTTACAATAGACAGTTTTGCTTCCTTCGCCTTTCCTACGCAGACTAACTCGCAGTTGCGCCGCTAGCCTTTTTATATGCAATTATTACTGCCATCACGAGGTGTTCGGAATACACTAGCTAGAACCAGAAGTTTCTCGAACCAACGCGGTAATTCCAAATATTTAATTACGCCTAATGCCACCTAGCGGGTAGCTGAAGAAGATAGTACATAGTAACACTACTTGCCACTAGATGTCGTTAAGTGTCACAATACACAATAATAATTGAAATGCAAAAAAAGCGTAAGTTTGCTTAGATCACGCACTTTGCGACTATCCTAGTCTAGAAATATAGTTGATGGCGGAAATTGGCCCTTGGAACAAACTGAAAAAATCATTATGGCCCGAAGACTTCAAAGTTTGGAGGGAGACCCCTGACCATAATTTGTTGAAAACTAAATTCTGTACGATAGGTGTTAGAGGCCCCTGTTTCGCAGTACATTTGTGTTTCTCTGGGTAAGACAGCTATATACTTATCAGTAGAATAAACACAATTTGAAATCAATAGATATTACAGATACTTTCTGAACAAGTATTGATTCAACTTTTTGAAATGGGAAGGTAGAATATTATATGACTTGACATCAATAGAGTTTCAGTCTAAATCCACTGGCCCAGAGAATTCTTCCATATGAGATGTGAGAATGGAAAAAAGCGTAGTAAGCTGAACAAGATGGGAGAAAATCACAATAAGCCAATGAGGTCAGAGTTTCCAAATAGAAGAGAAAAAATTTGTCAATTGTATATATTCTATTTAGAGAACAATTCACATTGAATGCTTTTTTGTGCAGTGTGATATTGTAAGTGACAGTTTTCAGACTGCACTATAAAAAACACAAAACCAAGATGTTCAATCTGATTTTTTATGAGTGTACTAAAAAACCACTTTTTATGAATGAGTTTCATTTTAAATATGTCACACTGTATGTATACAAGGGAACATTTGCGTACGTTGCAAAATCTTTTGCAATTCCCAGTAAGAATTTCAATCAGGTTATAATATTTATTTTGCATTAAATTTTATATTTGTTTTGTTGATAAGTGATCAGAAGAATTTTTTGAATAATTTTTTCTGCATTGTAGCCAGAAAATATTAATATCTCTAATAAAATCTCGAGGAAGAAGGCCCATCAACATCACTATTATGGATACTGCTTCCCTTATGTAAAATCATGTTTAGTATCTTACCTTGCAAATGTTATGCTTACACTCCGTCGTGATGGGATTTAAAAGAACTTCTTGGCAGCAAATACACATAAAAACATCTTCAACTTTTGCCAAAAACTTCTGCTTTCCTTCCTTCAGGACCGCCTCACACTCAGTCCATGATTTTTCATTTTCCACATCATTTTGTATAAAATCTGTAACTTCCTTTGGCAAGTGATATTCTTGGGACTTTGACTTTTTAGGAGTACGATTGAAAAAATCTGTTAGGGGTTTGGTGTTCGAAGTATCTTGAATTTTTCTTTTCGAACCACGTTTGGATTTGTCAGGAGATTTTGACTTATTCTCCTTGTCTTTTTTCTGTTCTTGAGCTTCTTGTGCCTCTAAGTAACCAGGAGGATACTGTAAAAATATTCAATATTCAAATACATAATAAAGTGGTGATTATTCCTCTCAATAATGAATTTAAAAAATGATAGTTGAAAAAAATTAACAATTTTATCATTGGAAACTCTTGATCATCCAGATATTCCTTTCAGAGGTAGTTCTTTCAGATTCCAGGTATTATTAAAAAAGTATAAAACAAAAAAAGGTTTTTTTTTGGTAATAATCTCTCTTCAAAAACATTTTTGAAATCTTGTTGGCGAGATGATCAGAGTTTCGAATAAATATGAATACATTTTTGTCATGCAGATGTCAGAAATAATCTGAATTGTCGTTGTATCGACTGAGGTTTCAGACAAATATCCAAAACTTATGTAAGATCGAGTAAATTGACAGAAGTGAACTTTGTTTCAACACTTTTTTCTTGGGTATCCTATAACTTTTTTCTTTTTAACTTATTAAAGATATTTGGGCCAATCACATGAGGTGAATTAGAAGTAACCTTATATTTGCAATACTGTATGTGGAAGTTATATTTTTGACGAGTATTTCTACTATGTATGATTTCATTGGTGATAAATTTTTATTTGTTTCTGAAGACAAGAGGCCCATTTTGAGGCTTTGGCCATTATTCTCAAAATATACTTCTGCACAACGAATACATTTGATATCGCCACATACATATGGCCACATACATATGCCATGTCTCAGTCTGGAAGCTACTTAAGCATGGTATGTGCCAAAAGTTGCTGATCTGTCAAGATGTATCTGTTAGGTTTCTAAAGAGATAGCCTAATGTGTTAATTTTACTCGTTAAATTCGAACAGTGTTGTTTCCATGTCAAACATGCATCAATGGTAGTTCCCAAAAAAATTTGTCTCTTCTTTTCCCAGATTTGACATGTTCTTGATTTGAAATTGAATAGGCACGCAATGTTTTTGTCGATTGTGAAATCTAACCAATTGTGTTTTGTTAGCAGTGAGATAGAGAGAATTAGCTCCGTACCAGTTCATAACAGATTTCAAAGTATATTTACATTTGTCTTAAAGTGAGTTTTCATCCATGTCAGATACTATTAAAGACGTATCGTCGGCATACATTGTTAAAGAAGTATTCCTAATATGTGATTCCAAATCATTTGTATATAAAAGAAACAATATAGGCCCTTATACCGATCCTTGCGGAACACACATTGAAATATTTAACAAACTTCATTTATCATGAGTACTCGAACTGTGGTTACTAATTGTAACATATTGTTGCCTATTTTGACTTTGACAAGAAAGCATTATGATTGACGCAGTCGAATGCCCTGCTGAGGTCACTCGCCTGCCTCCAAATATTCAGTGTATCGAAAAAAGAAATTACTGCAGTACTGGTAGATCTATTAACTAGAAAACCGTGTTGATGATCTGTCAAGAGTTTGAACCTATTTAAGAAATACAAAAGTCTATCAAGATATGCGTGTTCAAAAAAATTTGAAAAACCCGATGTGAATTTCCATGTAATCAAATATCCTGGAAAATGTTAATGAATGTATTCCATATAAAGCAGTATTAATATTCTGGACCCGGATGTCACGTACGTAGCTATGGTTGTCTACATGGTCATGTTAGTTGTTACCTATTACCGTGTTAGGAATCACACGTTAAAAGGGAAGACCTCGTTAGTCCTTAGCTCACACAAGTTTCTCCACTTCTGAGAGTTGTCGTTCGTATGGGGGCGACAGCTGATTAACGGAAAACAGATTTCCAACAGACAAACCTGATAGGTTTCCTAACTGCTTTTGACTTCCATTGGTGAATCCATGCATGTCTAGTTTTCGGCAAACAATTGTTGTCGGTCCTTACACTTGGCTGCACCGCGCTGACGAGGCCAATAATCAGAAACACGTGTCCGCGGTTTTGCCCTATTTTTGAGTATCATGTCCGTTGACTCACCTTTTTTTACATTTCCATAATGTTATTGAAATAACCACCATCATCAGTGACAACAATCAAACAGAAAAACAATTTATTTTATCATGAACTTTTGGAAAAATGAAAGCAATACGGAAAATCAAAACTACATGGCAATCTACATTAAATGCTCGAATTGACGACCTCTTTGTTGAATGCACATAAGTTGTCGGTTCAGAAAATTTCTGTGACAATTTTCTAGAATAATAGGTGTAATACTAATACATGCATCTTCAGACAGAAGTTGAAGGCTGATATGAAAGAAACGGAAGCAATTCCTGATCTTGAGACGTTGACTTACGACATGGAAAAAAATCTACCACTACCCAATATTTCCGCAAACCTAGTTTTCTATAAAAGGCAACTCTGGCTGTACAATGAAGGTGTCCATTGTGGAAAAAGTGGATACTGCTTTGTACGGAAAGAGGGGACAGCTGGGCGAGTGGCCCAGAAACTTGGATATGTACTGAAGAAGTTCATTGAACATCATCTCAGTCCAAACACAAAAACGCTGATAATGTGGTCAGATTGTTGCGGAGGACAGAATCACAATATTAAGATAGTTTTAATGATGAAAACAATCCCCAGCAATCATAAAATTTCGGAAACACTTTATTTCAAGTATCTAGTACCGGGCCACAGCTTTCTACCAAATGATTCAGATTTTTTGTTTATTGAAAAGGCAATAAAGATGAATCAAAGGATTCATACTAGCGATGGTTATATAAACATAATGAAGCATTGCCGACATAAAAAACCATTGATTGACATTATCTTTCTTAGTGTGAAATGGATTTAAGCTTATTTATCAGAAAGGAACTATGAGGCAAAAGTCTCAAAATTATATGAGAAGTCGTACTTTGGGACCCTCTTTTTTCATAAATGTTGTCATTTGAAGGTAATTAAGTAAGTGCCTGCAATGTTGCAACTTTAGACATTTCCTCGAAACTATGCAGATGTCGCTTGGTTCTCTTCTGATAAAAATGACCCAAATGAATAATTAGAATATGACTTTGAACAATACAAAATTAAAGTAATTGAACGTATTGTTCTGATGTTCTTTTAGGTTGACAATATGTGTTCGGATATTTCCAGAATTTCATTTGGAGTAAACCTATTTTGATCCAGGATTAATTTAAGTTTATTTGTTGGTTATAAGGTACTATTTTCTAACATTGCAAGTAAATCCGCTGAAATTCATACATTTATTTATGGAAAAATAAATACATTCATATGTATTAACAATCCTAAACTTCGTTGCGTCTACATTTTAAAATTAATCCTATTGAAAAGATACAAATCCAAGTTGAATAAATAGTATAGAATTGGTACATCTTATATAATAAATACAAACTAATGAAACTCCCAATGACTATAAAATTACTTTCAAAAAAATTTATATATAAACAGTAATAACAGTTGAATAATAAAAAAATCGTTTCTCCTATTGTAATCTAAGAGGTAATAACGAATTTATAGAAGGTATTTTGAGCAACACGAAATTATTCAATTCTAATGATGCGTCATCAACTTATTACATCTCTCAAATTAATACCATTTGTAGAATTGCCTTCAGCTCATTATCTACAGGTATATGATACGAATCATGACAAATTATTCTTATTTCCGAATTCTACTCATAAGAAAGAAACATATGTTTTTTTTTCAAAATCATTAGGAATACCTTGTTATTAAAATTTCAAGTGATCAAAATCTGGTATAATTTACTCAACAATAAATGTAGTATCTGAATTTTGAGTGAGTGAGTTATCACAGAGAGAAGTTCGGTTCTTTTTAATAGTCTACTGAATATATTTGATCAAAAAGTGAAAGTTGATGACGCGTTATTTGAATTTTTTTGCAAATACTGTACAATAATAAAATTACTGCAATATATCCCTCAGACTCTTGACTCTTGATTTACTGACATTGATACAGTAAGGTTTTTTTATTTCAATACCCTGTACAAATTCGTCATTAGTTCTTAANTTTTCATTATATTTGATAATTTCGTTCTTGTTTTTTCTTCTTATAATTTTCAAATGTGTTCACACCTTTTTAGAGAACGGTAGTCCAAAAAACCAACCACATTCAAACAAACAAGCTAATTTTCACTTAATAAAATTTGAAGAAAAATTCAACAAATATTTTCTACTTACAAGCATTTCCAATTCTTGTCCTCCTTTTTCCCATGGAGCAGGTACAGGGTCATCCCTCCTCAGCAAGTATTTCCACACAATGAAACCTGATTTTCCACGTTCAGGAAAATATTGGACCACTTTGTACAGCCCATCATACCTATTCCCATCTTTAGGGGCGTATTTGGAATGTTTGGCACCTTTATAGTTACGTACAACTCTGACTGGTTTTCCTTTCTGCCAATGATCTTGTTAATATTTGTATCAGTCTCTGATACAAATAAGATTTTTAAGTGAAAAAACAAGATTATAATGCGGCCCTCAAATAAAAATAAGTTCCAAGTTCTTTCATATATGTCAAATGAAATATCTGAGATGAATTCAAAATATATTCGAGGAGAGCATTACATCAAGGTGGTGCTAGAGCAAATACAAAAATTAGAGAAAACAAAAAAATAGATTAGATACTTGCTAAAATTTAAATGAAAATATTTTATTCATCGTGAGTAAATAACACATAAATTTGAGAAATGATTTACTGATTCGGAGTTTGATTTTTCATTCCTTCGGATATTTTGGGAAGTATTTCTTGAACCACAGTTTCTGTAATTACTTTGTTCGATTAATGACCACCTATTTATTTTGTAGAAATTCATATTGAATATAGGATAAAGAAAATAGCTTTTGTCTGATTTCTACTATGATTTTTATTTGTTACGACCAATTTCAGTTTAATCGAAAAATGGTCTAACAAACCGGTCATGAAAAATAAAAATCGTAGTTGAAACAGGCAAAAGCTCTTTACTGCAGGTACTAGCTGAAATAAATTTTTATCTTTCAGTTCTTCTAAATATTCATCTACTCCCCATAACTACACCCTTGTCAGAGAGAATTATTTGAAACACTATAAAGTGTATAAATTCATTATTTCGGTTACTGTACATGTTTAAAAAAAAAACGAAAAACATCAAATGTAAATTATAATTTGACATTCTTCAACGTAAAAATAACACCCCTACCTTCTACCCTCTTCGAATGACTGACACAACCCCCAATTTTTTAAATGGGTAGTATAGGTTTGTGATATACCATTTGAAAGATCTCTTCATTCTCTATTCAAAAACGTTATCGCTTTCAAGTTTATTGCAACAATTAGGATAAAATAAATTAATTAAAACCATGTGGTTACCGAAATTAGATAAAATACACTCAAATGCTTAAAATGTAATGCAAAACGTAATGATGTGTAGAATACGAAAAAGAACTATGGATGTTAACGAAGTAGATGTTCAAAATGGTCGCCGCGAACTTCCTAATCTCAAATTAAACTGTCTTCTAACATTATTTTCAACATATCGGGCATGTCCGATCTAATCGCAAGCGTTATTCGTTCTTTTAAGTCATTCAAATCTGAAGGTTTAGTTTTGTACACACTGCTCTTTACATATCCCCATAAAAAAAATCTAATGATGAAAGATCAGGTGATCGCGCTGGCCATCATCACTCATTGCATTGGCAGCTGCTTTTTTTATCTGTCCCACATGACCAAGCTCGCGAAACTGCTTATCTATTTTGCTTACTGTTCCTTGAGATATGGGCGGTAAATTAGGAAAGTTCTCATGAAATAGGCGAGCTACTTCCTGTTGTGTTCGGGTTTCATCTTCGTAACCAATCATTTGTAAAACTGTTATTTTATGCATTTTCGTTAATCTAACCATTTGTCAGACTTGAAGTTAACGAACACTGAACTTGAATTAAAATACTGACAACTAATGTTGTAACATACAAAACAAGTTGACAAGGCATTTTAAACTAACGTTGCCATGAAAATCAGACATCACCAAAAAAATATGACAAAAATAACACCTCATAATCTCATAGAATTGGCATATATTATTTTATCAAGTGACAACTAATGTTTTTCATTGATTAACTCACTTATTCATCCTGGTGAGTTTCTGATCACAACTCTGTTCTCCACATCTCTTGTTTCCAGAAAGATCTCTACCACCAGAACCAGTATAAAAAAATTCTACTCCTTCATCTCTATCATCTTCATAACCACCACTGAGAACCAGGCTGTAGGCACCATCATTTTCCCTACCATGTATACCAGCCACATGAGGCCTATGAACGCCAGCCTCAGAGACCTAATATTCAAATGCATTTTTAGTTGGCATTCAATGAGAGAAGAATCATATGTTGTCAATAGGGATGGGAACTTTCGAATCGTATTCAAGATTACCTGCAGTCTGAATTTCCAACATGTTCCAACCTCGACCCCAGGTACAGGTCCATAATGGTCTTTGGACACTAAAGTACATTCCTTAGTTCTTCCAACGCAGGCCATTCCTTTTCCCCAGTCCCTACTTGATTCACCCTTGTTACTAGCCATTTTGGCCTTTTTGGTACTCTTCTTCAGTTTCTCACCAGCTTTAACTATTTCTGAGTCGTCAGTCTTACATTCAGGGCAATACCTAACCAAATAAAAATACCATATCAGTTGTGTAGTTATACTGTGTAATAATATAAGATCATGAATTATGTGATTTAACACAATTCAACATTCCCAGTTTGTAAGAACGTATAAACTGTCAGAAATGAGTTACATTTAAATATTATGATAACCGAGTTAGCATCATCCGTAGACGACTAGTTTTAGAGTTTCAGTCAACTCCTGGTGATGCTAAGTAAAAGGTGTCTGTTACATTTCTTGTGACGAAAGCCACATTTATATATTTCGAAATTGCACTCAAATACCCAACAGTAAATAATAAACTGAAACATAAAGGTTTTCTGTTTCACAATAACACAATACCAAACAAAAAAAGCAATTAAATTGATAACCGGTAACAATAACATCATGACAAGAAAAAAACGAACATTTCATTCATGTGTGTTTGGAATACAAACTGAGTAGAAAAAAGTGTTTTCTGTATAATTCAGTGTTCATAAAAAAGTATTTGTTTCGAAGGAATTTTTCTTTCGTGTTCCAGTAATTCAGGTTTCTCTATCCTCATTACTTCCAACTAATTAAGTTCTGTAATTATTGTTGTAGGAAATGCATTGTAGAATAGTTTGAAGTACCAGTTCAATTACTAATTATTATCATTGTTACTATTATCAATTTTTATCAAGTAACAAATTAGCGTTATCATAATAATGGAACATATTAGTCAATCATATAGTAGGAGTAAATGATATTTGGTAGATCCCATATATTTCCACAAGTCTTACCACTCATCATCCTCAGGAACAGACACTAGAGGTGGAGTCAGGCAAGATGTATGGTACCCGTAGTCACATTCGTCGCAAAGAATCATCGTATCACAGCTATCCTTTCCAAAACATACTCTGCATCCACATTCACGACATTTCTTGTCTGGTACATCTTTACATTTCAGACAATTGTAGGGGTATTTTCCTCAAAAAAATTATGATTAACTAGTTTATGGCTTCCAAAATGTTTGTATATATTCAATATTTGTTTGTATTATTATAATGTACAAATTCAATTTTCACGAATATTATTATATATTTGGGAAAGAAAGTTTTTGGCTTTCTACTACTCCATCTTGATACAAAAAACAAGGATGAGGGAATCTTCCAAGGAAAGGAAGGAAGTAATCATGCTGTTTCAGGAGGACTTTCTTTCAGTTTGTGTCTGAAAGTTACTTCTTTGCATGATCTACACATCCCTATATAGAGTTACTTATTTTGAAATTGATTACTTCCTTCCTTTCCTTGGAAGATTCCCTCATCCTAGTTTTTTGAATCAAGATGCGAGTAGTAGAAAGCCAAAAACTTTCTTTCCCAAAAATCATCACTCCTAAAAATATAAACCCTTCAATTCAAATTATTATATATTTATTACATAGCATATGTATTAAGGATTGGTACTTTACAACCAAGTGAAATACATTTACAAGAATTAGAAAATTAATCATTTTTAGAATTGGTCGTATGTCTGGCTGATTTAATGACATGACATGATATCAATCAAATATATTTATAACTGTTTGTGTATTTTTTCATGTATTTCTATAAATGATTTTAAAACAGACGCTGAGTAACTGCCCGTACATCATGTTCGTATCTCTCATATACATTTGCGTCACCACTGGTGATAGTTGTGTTTTTTTTTAATTTTGTTTGTAACCTATTTGAAATGTTCGTTGGTTGTTCATATGTTTTTATGGCTCAAACGTTATTGTTTTAACTTGATACAAAAGTAATTTTTTTTCATAACCTGGTTTAATGAAAAAATAAACTACCTATCTATGAAGACGCCATCTATGGGATCGACAGAGAACTCAATCCTCGAATATCAAAGATTACCGAGGTTCCCTCTACTTTACAACAATCAAATATCTGTTTAAAGGCGAATTTCAATTCACAACCTCTCGGCCAAGAGAAAGCACTCTATCACTGCGGAAATTCTCTGCCTCCGGATTTATTTATTATTCATACTATGAGAAGTTCAAAACCCAGAAAAGTTTGAGAAGACTATAAATTAAAAAAACAGTTCATTCCAAGCAGTTGAATCAAACAAGAGACAAACAACGATAGTGATACAGTTCTCGATATCAGCAAGGTGTATTATTACATTATAATTATGAAATATTCTAATATTACATAATGTTTCCTTCATTACGAGCAAGTGATTTCAAGCCTGAAGCGAAGATTTAAACAAAGAAAAAAGATTTGATCTGGCTAAGGACAGAGACCAAATGAAATTTGAATTAATGGAAAAACGTCAAATGGAATTAATTCAGTGTGTGATTGAGAAATTAATGGATTCGATATGTATACCCTGAAAGCCATTTTAGGAAAATGTTTACGTAGTATGATTATATAAGTCAAGACAATCAACTTTTGGCTTATGGAAGCTCATTTGGATTTAATAGAATCTTGAACATACCATTTGCTTTTGGAAACATTTCAAGTATGGTTATGAAGGAACAAGCCTAATTCACAATTTCCTATGTGCTGTACGAACAGTACTAATTTTTCCTCAATACGAGCCAGTCTTCCCATAGTGCTAATCAGAAGCTGCACTCATATAAAATTGCATGATTCCTTTTCAAAATTTAAATAAGATTCAGAATTTAACGCGATTAGGTGGATTATTATTTCACTTCATTATTTTTCTTATATTACTTGAAATCGAAAAGTGTGAAAAATAGATTTTGTTTTCTTCAACTAACTCCTGGAAACGCCAACTTGATTGGTGAAACGCGCATTAAGAAGAACATTGCAGTTCTGGTGATTGGGAAAAGTACTTGTTTCAAATCATGGTATGTTAAAACAAGTTCTCAGAATGTTTTATGCTTTTGTTTAACCACTCAAGACCTTTTAGCAATGACTATTATAGTGGTGAATAATTTTTATTCATTTCTGCTCGAAACAACCTAGAATTGAACACAAAAAATACAGACTAGTTATAAAGGTGTTCACAATATCGTTCAATAAAATCTCAGCTGAGATTTATTATTTACACCTGAAAAAAATTGAAGAATGATTACATATTTTTGCAGATTTCTCACCAGTTGGTTACTCAAAAATATGATTTATAGAAAACAATTTCAATATACATACTTGGACATTCATCGTGAACATTACCATCTGCTTTGTCGGCCAGTAATTCAGGTTTCTCTATCCTCATTACTTCATCCGTGAATTTTATTGAACAATTTTCTAAAGGAGTTCTATCCCGCCCAACTAATTTTATGCTTGCCAGGTTGCAAAATGTTAAGTTAAGGAAACCACAGGATTCTTATTAATATAAATTAAATATGAAGAGAAGTATAAATTACTATAAAATTATAACAGTCAAACAGTGAATCAAATTATATAAAGTAAGGTAAATCCGTAAAATGGGAACATATCAGTATCTAACATCTACAATTTCTAAATTTATAAGTACCCTGAAAATTAAAAATATTTGTTTAAATAATATGTTAAATGTAACCTCTCTAGAGGCGAGTTATAAAAATTTTTGAAAGTATTTAGAAGTATCTCTAATTTTTTTATTGATTCGGCCATTACTTGATGAATATCCATAGTATCTCTGACTTGATTAAATATTTATTTTATTCATGACCTTACAACAGACATTTAGAAGACATTACAGTTAGTTAACTTAAAAGTTTTGAATTAATACACTTACAGTTTGCAGAGAGGCCACAGCTGATTGAAAAAAACTCATTTTTATTAAAAGATGTTTTTTAAGAAGGAAAGAAATTTACCACTATAGAGGTTTTAAGATACAAGAATTATTGAAGATACTACTGAAAGGTCTCATTTCAAATTAGTAAACATTCTGCAAATATTTGAGGTCAAATGATTAGTTAATCATATAATAATAATAATGCCAGGAAGTGTCTTTAACACCTTGCATGATCAGTATAGAGGTTCCTGACACCAGGTACACGGCTTTGTCGACGCACATGAAACCCTAATGAACTTTCTAAACTTCATATATTGTCAAATCAGTGAAAAATTTCTACTGATGAGGGTGTTAGTATAGTCAACAAATGTTGACATCAAACAGAAAACAGCTTATTCATATAGCTGAATGTAAAACATCTGTTTATTTCGGGACTTGCTCTTTTGAGTTGTTGAATTGTGATTTTATGAAAAAGTTTTTTAGTGCAATTATTACAGGTATGAGAAAGTGATGAAAAGGCAAAATAATAAAATACTTTTGCCAATGTGATCACAAAATTCATTAAAAATTTTTCTGATTGATGTTTTATCTGAATGATAAACTACCCTATTGTTAACTTCTTTGATAATTGTCACAGTCACAGGTTATTTGAATCTCATTTTTTGTTTAATACATCTGATAAATCTATGTGGATGAATTCATATCTTAGGTCCTCAGATGAAATTTTTGAATTGCTATTTTTAATCAATTTAAAAAGAACATATTCAATATGTATAAAGGAGAAAAAGTCATGTCACCTACTTCCTAACACGAAACACAAGGTCTTCTTCATTTGGTTCTTCATTGTGCTGACAGGAATCTTTTTTCAGAATTTTGTAAACGAACGCTTCATACCAAGCACCATTGTCGACAAGGAGAACATCGATTAAATCACCAACTTTATAAAATTTACTTTCAGCGTTTACAAATGTAACATTCTTATCTGCTTTATTCTGTACAGAGGTATTATCTTTCTCGCAACTGTCTGTTCCTGACTTGGCTATTTTGGTAATTAATTGAACAACATCATTCAATTGTATATCATAGTCCATTACTTTATGATCATCGATCAACTGAAATACCCGTAAATTTGATGAAAACTGCATAATTGGACTTAATGAAAACTCACCTGTTTTCCTTTGTACAGAAGCATTTGTTCTTCAGGTTTCACACCCAATTCTTTTTGTATTAAACTCCTCAGTTCCTGAATTAAAGCCATTTTTGAAATATTGACAATTTTTTCCCCTTCATTTTGTAGGACACCAAGTTTTCTGATTTTGATATACATATTTTTTTAAAGTTTTCACTAATTAATCGAGAAAATATTATTATACAAGCTAACAAAGCTTTGTCTAGAGTCAGTTTTCGAATAAGAATTTTAGTTGACAAATAATAAACAAAACCTAAAATTCAAATTGGCGGGAAATGAAAAATGGAAGGTTAACTTCTTAATCTTCCTTTGTTTGGTTTATGGCATCAGCTCTCAAGTCACTAAGAGTTAATAATCTGTAAAGACCTTATAGGCAATCAAAATGAATTGATTATTCATGTTACGACATTTGAATATAATTACAGATATATATTGACGTTCTAGTATTGCAATTCTCTGAATTTTGGGAATTGGAAAGTATATCGTTCATATACGACATCTACCGGAGGTATTAAAATTAAGCCAGATGGTAAAGCAAAGTTCTACCAGCTCTTTTCATATATTCGTGTGCCTCCCGTTAGTGAAAGTAATTTATTGTACCTTATAATCAGTTTGTCTAAAGTCTTTAATAAACGCACCTTTCCACATATGAAATTTCACAATCAATTAACTCAAAACAAAGACGAAATTTCACTCATCTATGATGCAGTTATTCCGATCCACTTGTTAGCTGTTTGAGTAGCACCATCATCGATTGAAATTCTTCTCTATATCCAAGTTTTTTACAGTATGATCTGACAATTTTTTTTATTAAAACAACGATAACTGATTGAACAATGTTCAATAAACATTTCCAATATACCGATGGTACTCAAACATTCTTAGTGTCTTATAGTAAAAAGAGAAGGCTTTATAGCTAAGATCAGTGCAACGAAAACATGTAGAGTCCGGTCCTAATACCTTGGTCTTTTGTATAATTGAGTATAATTTTATGGCGTAATTCAGTAATGTACCTACAGTAAACATGTATTTAGGTGAACAAACGGTCTGAATATCAAAAAAAATTTCGGTGACTCATGTTTGTTCAGCTATCTTTCTTCGATGAGTGAAAGTTATCATGGAAATAAGAGCTTTTCTTGATTAATTGAAAATTTCGATTGATCAATGGTCGTTTTTCACTTATAGAAAGAAATGGACGTTTTTTGGATATTCTGTTGATGCACATCTGTTGATGTACATCGTTCAAACTATATATTTATATATTCAACTATCCAAAGGTGAGATATGCTTTGACGAATCGATATCTTCAATCTTGTTGAAGAACACCCGATGCATTGGTTTACCTATTCTTGTGTTGCCGCAGCAATGAAGTGATCTCTGCAGCTTTTATGGTGAGCCTACCGCTGGCGCTGATCGTGTTCCAACTCGGTGACAGAGCCTGTTATCATCTCGTTCAGTGTGGAAAACTAAACCAGGTTCGTCAGTCGCTCGGCCAGCTGCAGAGAAAGTGGTCCGATTTCCTGATGACTGTACTGCCTTCATCCAGTACTATTCTGTCATGTACGTACTCAAAAGATATCGGGAAAGTGCAACAGTGAAACGGTCGATGTGGGATGTAAACTCCTATAGAGATGCATCATTTTCCCGGTATTTGCGTCGAGTTGAGACTACTCCTTTGAAGTAGTGATATGGACTGCAGTTCCGATGCCTAGATCTGTCGGAATTTGTGCTGATACTTGCCGTGGAGAGTTCTCCACCGCTGTCACCTCTTGTGAGTGGCGTTGTTCCACTCCATCTGGATATCTCTCCGACATCCAGATGGTGTAGGATGCTTCCATCTACGAGCTGGACATCCTCTCCGTAATTTCCGCATTAGGATGGACCGTTGCACATTTATCTATCCCGAATTTGGGCAGATACAAGATGAGCTCATCCGGTGTTGTTGAATTACTATCCGATTACTGAAAATAACGGTTTCGTAACACGTATTTATGCTGTGTCCGATAGTTTGGAGTGCTACTCTTTCCTACCTGGTGTCATGCTGTTTGCTATCCTTGAACACTTAGAATGTGATTCCATATTCGATTGAGGCGATTGAGGCAATGGATAGCAAATCAAAGACTGCAAATAAATAAATTATGTTAGTATTTGTATATGTATATATGATGTATATGAAATATGTAGTAGAGGGTGTATGGTCCGTGATGCCGGTTTTTTCCAGTCCGCAACACGGCGAGTCCGTAGGTTGTGGATAATGAATGGCTCCAAAGAGCTAGGGTATTAACCCTCTGAGCCAAAACTGGATCTGACAAAAATACAAAGATACAACAAAGCCTCAGGTCGACAAAAGACAAAAGGGATCCACTATCAGCAGCAGGAGACTATCGCATACCGTACACTTGTGAGAAGGTATACATATATCGTCACCACCAAAAGAACATGAAAAAAACTGCAGACTGGCCCAAACAGACAAGTTAGCTGTGGCGTAACACGCACCCAATGAAGGAAACCGAAGGATTCTGTTTGACAACACCGGCAATAGAGGCAACAGAGATATACAAACACACGGATAATTTCAACAGAATAGAAAAAGCGGCGGACCTCAATCGAATATGGACTTCTATTCTAAGAAGTTCAAGAATAGCAAACAGCATGACAGCAGGTAAAAAGGAGTCAATGAATGTTAACAACAAATTACCTGATCTAGGTAATCAGCACTCTACTACATGAGACAGCATAAATACGTGTTACGAAACCGTTATTTTCAGTAATCAGTAATCCAGAATGTATAAACCTCTGAAAAATCTAGCCACTCTCACCAGCGAAACGTCAGGAAGAAATTCTAAAAATCTACGGTCTTCGAACCCGAAAAATAGTAACACTAAAAACCTCAGTCACGAAAACCTTTGCCATTTTGTTATTATGATTATTATTATCATTATTCTAATTCATAACCCAACTATATATCTTTAGAGACATACTTTAAAGACATATTTCTGTCAATGTGCTTATGACAACAAGTAGGTGATTGAAATTTCATTTCCCAGTATCATAAATAAGATCACCATCAAAACCTATCAGAAACGAAATCACACCTCGGCACACGAACACTTGCATACTAATCAGATACATTTCTAACTGTACTCAACTGGTTCTTACGAAGAAACGCTTTGATTAATTCAATTCCTTTGGAATGTGGGCCAGTGAAGATACATAATTTTGAAAATATTCAATTTTTTTTTAAGGATTTGATACTTGAGATACCTCCAAATGATTTTGCGGGTATCATTTTGATATTTCCATGCCATGATAGAAAAATTACGTGGGTTATCAAGAATGAATTCAATCTTTACATGTTTATTCAATTAGGGATATCCTCTCATTGAGAAAAAAAACCGTTATTATATGAGAAAACAAGTTTTGTTGATGGGACAATATAACAAAAATCAATAAGTTCAGTGAATACCTAATCAAAGTTCATTACCCATGGTTCAAGGTGTCCAAGAGGCAAAGGGGTAGATGAAAGATTGGAATTTGATGCCATTTATGGGTTAAAGTAAACACATTTCGAAAGTTCATATTCCGGGATTAGAGAAAATGAAGGACTGGATAAGAAAAAACGCGTTTTATTGTAGGCGTTACTCAAGGGTTTGTCTTATGAACATATGAACATTCAGAAAAACCACGACTAAAATTATAAATAATTATCAGTAACTGTACAATCGACTCAGTTGTTCAATGCATCTCACTATGTTGTCGGGTACCGCAAGGCATCTGAGCAAATGCAAGATGAGCTCATGCGAAATTGTATCAAATGCCTTACGGTAATCGATCCAGGCCATAGAGAGGTTACGCTTATATTGTATCGAGTATTATTATTATTATCATTGTATACTAACTTGGATTTGGCCGGTAACGTATTGGATACTACTGTATTTGCTTTCTCAGATGTATCTAATGGGTATTACTACCACTATTATAATCAACATCCATCTTCTTGAAAATAACTTGAAATTGAAGCAACTACGAGCAAATAATACCACTGGATGCTATGAAATTGTATTGGAAATTGGAAGTATTGATTACAATAAAATGTATGGAAAAGAGAAGTACCATTTAGTTATTTTGGACCTATTTTTTTCAGACAGGAAACGTTTGAATACGATTTTACTGAAAACATTGAGTAATATTTTCGAGACAACAGCCGTTTGAAAGCAATAACTCATCGGGACAAAACACCACGTCAAGATGTACCTATTGGAAGTATTTATTTTCAATACATATATTTTAGAAGATGTAAATTCGCATTCACAGATGTAGGTACAAAAACTGTTGTTCGTATTTTATGTATAAAATTCGTGTTTTCGTGGCACATGAGAAAATTAACAGTCTCATATGCCATCAAAATACACCCATTTTACGCACTCAATACAAAAATAACTGTTTTATATAGGTAACAAAATTGATCATCGAAACGAATTTAAAATTATATATCAAACACATTAGGGGTCTGAGATTTTTTCTGAGGTCGCTGTCAGTACTTGAAAAAGTATCTATCAAATATAAAATTATGGCTAGAACACTCTGCTGTCACCAACTGATGCACAGTAACATGTTTAATGCAGTTTTATTCGTTGAAGATGAGAAACAGATATGCTAAATTAATCGTTGAGTGGTCCTGGCAGATCCTTTCTGGGGATTCAAACAATAAATTCATATAATATCTTCAATAAATCAAGTAAATGGTGTGTTATCAGTTTAAAATTAATTAATTTTGTCTTTAGCCTACTTTATCGAATAGTGGGCTGAAAAATGTCCACTCAAATACATTTCTATTGGAGAAATGCTAATAATAATCTTCGCAAAGGCTATTAAATCGTAACACATAAGTACTACGAAGAAAGAGTCGGCAGTTTTAGTGTGCCAGTTGCCGAAACCGGGTCGTAAGATGAGGTTATGGTGTTTGCTTTTGGCGTGTCTTGAGTGTCGAGCAAGGTTTATTCTTCCTCATGTGCCTGATATGCTGCATCCACCAGTGCCCAATATCGGTCAGTAATACTGAAATGACGTCTCATTTTTCTGTTATTGTACTTTTTGTTTCTGATTTTCATCGAATCATAGAAAATTATACTAATATTCGATATATATGAAGAGTATATACTAAAGTACTAAGTGATCAGTAAAACATGCATCACATGTGATTTTTATTCATTTCAGTAGTAGTTTTATTCGAAATTCGACTTTGACATCGATTTCTGCTTTGTTCAAGTAAAAACTATTTAAAACGTGATTTGCACTATCTATAAATGTTTTCCTAAAAATTCAATAGGCGAATTATTTCTCAAACTATCGAAAAATGTTATTGCAAAGTTTTTCGAAATGCAGTTTTAGCCCGTAGCCAGTATGCTGCATGAAATAAATTCAATTTCAGTTAGAAATGTAAGCTTTCACGACTGGTGTCAATGTTTTGGATGGTTCTCGAACTTTGCCATGGTCTTCTTTGGTTACAGTCTCCAAACGTTTCGACTGCAACTACGGCATCTTCAGTGGCGTGGTTGAAGTATTCTTCTTGACGTGTCAACAGACCACGGCAAAACCCAGAAACCGTCGAAAACATTTCAGTTACTGCCAATTGTCTGCCAATTGCCAAAATCGGTCAACATGCAAATGTCCGAAAATTGAGAAATCTGTATGAATCTGTTTAAAATCTGTTTTTCCGTTAATCAGCTGTCACCCCCATACGAACGACAACTTTCAGAAGTTGAGAAACTTGTGCGAGCTAAGGACTAACGAGGTCTTACCTTTTAACGTGTGATTCCTAGCATTATTGAGGGTTTATGATAGACCAAAACTCAAGGTGGGAAAATCACGTTGTATCTTTGACTAACAGACTCAGACAGCTAACTAGAAAAATGTATGAATTGAGAGAATTTCTGAGTGATAAAACACTAAGAGTAATTTACTATTCATCAACTGAATCTATATTACGGTATTGTATGAAAGCATGGGGAGATTTACGGTATTTATACCAATGTACAAAAAGAGCCACACAGAAAAAACCATTTTCTTTTTTGGGCCGAAACTGTATAATCTTCTACCTCATGAACTGAAGATAATAACCAATTTCCATGAGTACAAACAACAAACAAAACATTTCATTCTGAAAAATCTAAAATAAATTAACAGAATTATAAATTATTTGATGTATTTTCGGTATTTCCTAATCCTACGTTCCTGAAACTATCAAATTGTTCAATGAGGTATAACTGTCCCTTCAATTGAATAATATACTGAGTAGTTACACTTTCATTATTCAATGATTTACTATACAATTCCAGTGTTTTTGGAGGTCAGCAGACAAGCACGACTCAAGCACACAAAATGCTTAGGTGCAGTCTCGTCAGCTAACAGACACTTTATAATAATCATCATCGATATGTATCTTTATCTGTACACTTTAGTCTGAATGAATCTGAAATCTGAATCTGAAATTACCCCGACGTCAAAATTTAATACTGAAATGAAACGTAGAATTGAAACCTCTGGAGTAACATCAATCCTGTAACTCCTAACTCTAAAATTGCTTTATATTCATATCTAACAGAGTACTTTCCCTTTGAGATACACATCAACGATTCCTGATAGAAATTCGCGAGGAATTTTCTCGTGAAGTTTTTTGCTTTCATTAGAGTGATTCAAATGAAGATGAACAAGGGACTGTTACCTTTGTCACTGTTTATAGTTCCCATGGCAAACTCTGCTATTTCCAGACTTTCGAAATCATCTAAAAATTCAGTGTCATGTACCGATGTCAACAATTTTAGACAGTTTTCATTTATTCGATGGCCATTATTTTCCGGTCTCCGAAATCGGATAATGTGTTCTTTGAAACGAGTTCTAATAGCTCGCTTTGTCACACCGATGTATTTTTTGTAATATTCCTCACACTTCATTTCATATATTCCCGACATTTCATTTTCCAACATTTTGTTTCAGCCATACCTAACATATGATTTTATTTTTGAAAATTCTATCTCATCCGTTAGTATATCTTTGTCCACACGCAAGGAAAATTAACTCTGAATTGAGATATAAATACACCCGTTGCTTTCAGATATGTCACTGATAACATTTTCCTCAATATCGTATATTTCCTTACTTAAGGGGAAAGAAACAAGCCTATGAACGAGAAAGTTCAGTCCTGCCATTTTGTGTAGTGGACAATGGAATATATCTGAATATATCTGAAAGTAATGGTATTCTTTCTGTAGACTTCAAATTCTGCACCCTAGTAATTTCTAATGAATGTCTTATTCAAGAATAGTAATTGTTGTTTTCAATTTCTTGTGTATATTTAACATTTGGTGTGCTAATCCGGGTACAGGTATCAGCACACCAAACTACCTGATTCAACATAAATATCTCTGAAGAAGCTAGCCACTCACGCCGGCGAAAAGTCAGGAATAAATTTACCGCGATGAAAGGTCTTACGCTTTCATAATGGAGAGGGAAGACCACAACGAATTGCCATTCTTAGACGTATTGGTGAAGAGGACCGAGACTAAGTGGGAAACATCTGTTTACCGAAAACTGACCACAAATCCAACCACCATCAATCCGTGCTTTCGGGCTCTGCAATAATAAGACTGGTTTAAAAGAAAATTCAAAGAAGCCGCATATGTTGTCCAACAACGTATTTAGAGAAGTTAGCGTAGAGATACGCAACATATGGAATCCCATTATCAAGCGGAAAACGGCTAACTCCCGCCAAACGGTCATCTCCCGCTAAACGGGTGAAGCGAAGACAGGAAAGAGAGGAAAGTGAAAGTACTCGAATGACCCATAAATAGTCAGCTCTCGGACGAAGCAGTCCAGTCATCATCCAAAGACAATTGTGGATACTAACAATCGAAACGTCGTAAAGTAACTTGGCTTGAAATCTCTTGTTCCATTTTCAATTTTTTGCTTGTATTTTATCTGACTGTAATTTCTTTTCAGGTTTTTTTGTTTATTACAATTGTTATTTTCAGCTATTCTTTTTAATTTTCAATTGTAATGGTTCTTCAAAGATTTCAAATCATTCCATATCTTATTAGACAATGGAAGTCCGAACTAATAAAATTCATTATCAACCACGTTCAAACAAACAGGGCCAGAATTGTTTCCGGTTGAACTGAAAACAATTCTGACCCTTGCAGATTTGTGTTAGTTGTATGTAGAAGAAGATCCCTCAACCATTCAATAGTATTTGGTATAGCGACACAGAAACAACACGGATACATCAATTGATATTGACATTTGTGCATCTAGTAGTGTTCTCGGTAGAAATGAGTAAGTTAGCGAAACGCGTCTAGAAATAAAAAATGTTTGTGAAAATTGTTCAATTATTATCAAGGATAGTACATGACGGGCCCTATAATAAATTACTAAAGAACCAATCACCGAAGATGGTTTCAGAAGTGAAAAACACACTCAAGAAGAGTAAAAATTTAATCAAACGCGTTCTAAACAATTTCTGAAATATACGTTCTACCAAAAATTCACAAGCCTGGCAAGTCGGTACGTCCAATTATATCCGCCACTAGTTTCCCTACTTATAAAACTGCTAAATGGCAAACCAAACAGTTTCAAACTCTTTCAATCACAATATCGAGTTTAGGTGTTGTTTACTCATATCATTTGATGTATCCTCGTTTTTACCAAGTGTCCTTATATCAATAACTATTAAATATTTGAGGGATCTTCTGATAATCATTATTCTCAGTGGAAAATCAATCGAAGACTGTAATAACCAATCGACAAAAATCTGCATGGAGCAGTTCAGCAAATGTTTCAACAGACAGCATGGAGGCCCAGCAATGGGAAACCCATTGTCCTCCTTCAAAACTAATCTGTTCATGAGCAGATTTGAATTTGAAGCAAAAGATGATTTAGATTACATTTCATAGACTTGAATCCAATATGTGGACGATGAATTTGCGATTTTTGATACAAAGAAATCAAAGGTAGAAGACTTTGCTTTAACAACAACAGAGCCCCGAATAATAAGGTTACATATGACATTGAAAAAAAAATAAGGCTTACAATTCTTGGATATCTTAGTGATAAGAAGAATTCAGTGTCTACAGAAAGAATGCCAGTACTTTCTTGATGGGTCACACCATTGTCCACAACACAAAATGACAGGTCTAAACTTTCTTATCCATAGACGTGTTACTTTCCCCTAGAATAAAGAAAGGAACGATTTCGAGAAATTGTAATCAGGGATATAGCTGAAGGCAACGGAGATTCTTCAAATATAGTATATGAGTCAATTAGAAAACGTGAATTAGGGAAGAATATTCGTAAATCTTCTATTTTCAAAAAATACATAGTTTCAAAGTTTATTGTTCTTCCGATTGATTCAAGATATTGCGGGTTAGATCACATTTCATAAATTTACACGTACAAATTTTAGGTAACCCTGAAGACAAGATGTTGGAAAGCTGGAATTTTGGCGATAAATGAAATGTGAGCACTGTGACAAGAAACATATCGGTCAGACTAAGCGAGTTTCAAAGATTTTCTGTTCGAAAAGTTTGAGAACAATTCTCTATTCCTCAGAATAAGAAATGAATTTTGCACAAAGCCATATTGAAAATCGAATGGATTAAACGGTTTCAAGTTCTGGTTTCATATAGTTTTTTTTATGTTGTTTTGAAGTTCATTAACGTTAGAATTGAATTTTAGAAGTGGCTTCTTCAGCCATTTTGAAAACGTCAGCAGCTTTTTCAGGTGTTGAAAATTGCTCTTCATCCATTCTGTTTTCCCAGGAAAAAAAAGATGAAATATTCAATCATAACTGTTATAATCATTTCAGACATTGTATATACCAATGCATTTTTTTATAATAGATTGGAAAAAAGTTAATGCTATTGAAATAGATTATCTACACACTGATTCGCGAAAAATAATGTTATGTTTTATCATCACATGTTTATTTATCCTTCTCTGTCCAAAATATGCAAATTATCCATATTGATTTCATGATTTTGATTAATATTTACCATTCTTTTTTTGAAGTCAGCAATGCAACAAATACCGATGAGGAGTTTCTGGACCCAGAACTGTCTCCTGGATTATTCCAAGGCGATATGGCACTCACGAATGAGTTTTATAATTATTGGAGAGTAGGAATCAAGTTTGATGTGTTCCCGGATAAAATGTGGAAGAATGGTGTTGTACCATACACAATCAGCCCACTTTACGGTAAGTTGTGAAATGAAACAACAATATCACTCGAACTAACAATCCTCACAATAACAGAATTAGTTCACCTCCAAGCAGAAACATTCTTGCTTTAAAAATATCTGGGACAAAGCAGATTCGAGCTCGGGACCTTAGGGCGGAGAGCCGGACACATATTCATTCAACCAATTCACCGCTCTCACTATAATTAACATTTTGAACCAATTTTCCTGGTTTATTCCCTCTAATATTCCTCTCATCTGAAAAATGTCTGGTTCATATTCATATTGTTGAAATATTCAATAATCATCATTGATCATTTATACACATAACAGTAGGTACATAATATTATGCATCATATTTTGAATGAATTTACTAGTAGATTCAAATATAAGTAATCAGAAATATCTTCACGTTCGACGCCATCTGTAGTGTAGATGACATAATACTCAAACAAAACCAGACCATAGTAAAAATCAACCAGTAAGTCCACTCCCACTACTTTCATTCATAAATTCGCAAAGTTCTCGGTGACTTCGAAACGGAGTGTGGAACCAATTTCGTTCTTTTACTATAGGCGTGCGCTCATATGAAAAGGAAATTTAAGGTTATTATAGAATATTTTGTGGTAAATTACAAAAACTAAAAACAATAATAACAACAGCAAATAAACTGAACACAATATCAATTTCCGGTCGTTTATTATAACTAATCCGATGTTCGTGGGCCGTCAAATCCTTCGATATTACAGCACTGAACGCGTTCATCGATAGTCATCTTCATCTTAATCAGGTTGGAAACTTACCCCTTACCCTTTCAACTGTCTTTTGCCAGGAGGACGAGTGGTTCACGACGTAGGGTGTTTTGGTGGCGACATAAAGGTCAATGACATCTATGCCGCTCTGGCCTTGTGTACCCCTTCCTGACTGGGGTATTTGATGAACAAACTGTTCATTTTAACAGACGTCGTGGGGCCTTCACTCAACCGAGCGGCGGGGCCTTCTGAATCGAGGGGGGACGTCTATAGTGTAATCAACAGCTTCCCTGACTAATGGGTTATCATGAGTTTCCGCTGACTCGAAAACTCTCTGATTCCTCGACTGAATGAACTGCCGTATAGTTAACAGCTTCAAATCTCTGCGGATGGCTTCATTCCGCACGAACCATGGAGCATTTACCAGCATCCTGAGAAGTTTATTTTGCAACCTTTCCAAAGTGGAGAGGTTTGACGGAACGGTTTGTCCCCAAGCGCCTGAAGCATACATAATGACAGGCTTGAACGTCTTGTCGTATAATAAAATCTTATTTCTAAGACTGAGCTTAGAGTTTCGATTGATCAGAGGATAGAGTTTGGCTATCGTCATTTGTACTCTGCTCCTTATATAGTTGATGTGATTTACCCAGGTGAGTCGACGGTCTACCCAAAGACCTAGGTATTTGACCCGCGTTTGCCATTCGATCTCCCTGCCTGAAATCGTGACTCTTGTATCTGGAGAAACGTTACGCCTCCCCAAATCTATCGCCTGAGTTTTTCATGGGTTCACCCGAATCTTCCACTCCAGGTGCCAGCGTTCGAGGTCGCCCAATGCGCGTTGCATGTAGACGACCGCCAACCCTCGACCCATGGAAGAAGCGAGGAGAGCCGTATCATCGGCGTATAGGGAAACCTTCACGTGATCGAACATAGGAAGGTCGCTCACGTAAAGGCTGTACAGTGGTGGAGACAGCACAGCTCCTTGAGGCACTCCAGCTTGGATTTCCCTGACAGGAGACAGGGTCCCTTCAACTCGGACCTGAAATGTTCTGCCCTTCAGAAAGGACCTAATCCACCGGATCAGGCCCCGAGGTAGGTCGAAATCGAGCATTTTATGTAATAAGCCTTCGTGCCATACTCGGTCGAAGGCTTTCGAAATGTCCAGGAGGACAAGATGGATTCTTTTCCTATTATTAAGCTCTGAGATGGAGTTTTCGACCAGTTCCAAGGCCTGCAGCTCGGTGGAGTGTGCCCTCCTGAAGCTGAATTGTTCATCAGGCAGAACATTTCGGTTTTTAATTTATTCGGTTAGCCTTTGCAGCACAACACGTTCAGCCAGCTTAGCCGTTGAGCAAAGCAGACTAATCGGACGATGATTCTGGGGAAAGAGCGGGTTCTGGACCTGTTTCGGAATCATGACAACTACGGCATGCTTCCATCTTCGGGAGAAGTATCTGAGGGCGATTGAGCTGTTTATTATAAACAATAGATATCTGATAAAGTTCTCCGGGAGCTGCTTCAATAATCTATTGTTGATTGAATCATTTCCCGGAGCCTTCTCGGGTTTGGAGGCCCTGATGTACCCCTTCAGTTCTTCCTCCGAAGCTGAACGAATCACGTCGTCGTCATTTTCCCTAAGGATTCGCTGAACTCGTTGCTCCAGTCGGATATCATCATTCGGGTCAACGTAAAGATAGAACTGACTCTCTATTGTGTCTGCAAAGGTCAACGCCTTCTCGGCGGGGGAGTAGCAGATACTGCGCTGTCCGTGAAGAGGGGAGGGAGCGGTTTTCCTCTTCTCGTGCCTTCGGGTGACTCGCCATAGCTCATCATCCCCAGGTTCGAGAGATTCCAAACACTCGCTCCACCTCTCGTTTCTGTAGTCAATGATGGCTTGTTCAACTTGGTTGGCCATCCTGCTAGCAAGAGCCTTGTCTCCAGGATAGAGAGTCCGCTGGTAAACTCGTCTGAGTCGGTTTTTCTCCCGTATGAGGTTCTTTATCCTGGGAGGAAACTCATTAAAGCTTCGCAGAGGACACTCTGCCCTGGTTGTGGCTGCGCGGAAAGCGTTGTTCACAGACAATTTGAAATCCGCCATTGCCGCGTCGAGACCGTTGCGAGTTTGAAGCGCCTCACGGTCCGTACGTGTCTTCACTAGATGAGCCTTGAAGGCTTCCCAATCTGTGGATGATCTCATGCGATAGTTCTGGGGAGGAGGATCATCACCCAGCATCAGGATGACTGGATTATGATCTGAGTCTAGTTCCGACAAAGTGTATACCTCGCAAGACATGGAAACGTTCCTGAGTAGTGCGATATCAAGCACGTCGGGTCTGTTATCCCCACGGTAGAACGTAGGCTCACCTGGACTCTTCATTCGATACTCATGCCTGTCAGCATGCGCATGGAGCGCTCGACCGTTCGCATTGGTGACTCTGCTCCACAGATTGTGCTTGGCGTTGAAGTCACCATCAGCAATTGTGGGAGTATCTGTCGACAACAGCAGTTCATCCAGTGATTCTGGGAGTAGACGATTCCGCGGAGGGTTGTAAACTGATATTAGTCTATGACGACCTCTTCTCAGTTGGAGTTCAACTCCCACGGCTTCCTTGCCGTGTAACTGATCCGAGTCAATGCCGAATTGAACGTGAGGAAGATTACGTTTGACAAAAATGCCAACTCTTTCCCCAACACGTCCAACTCATTCTCTATGGTAGAAACGGTAGTTTGGAATACCAAAAGGTTCATTGTGCAGGTGGGTTTCCTGCACAAGTGCGACGTCAATATTCTGCGCTTTCATGAAGTTTTCGAAATAAAGTTTTTTGTTTGAAATGCCGTTGGCATTCTAAAATACGACCTTAAGAGAACTAGGTTATGTTGGTTGTCTAGCCATGAAGAGGTACCAGTTATCACGCTGGTGTTCACCGTAAACATCTTATCGAGTACGGGGAGCTGAGTGAACAATTTCTTCATCTGGTCCAGAGCGGAACAGATGTCACTAACTTTCGACGAGCGAGGACTATTGGGCGCTTTAGTCGGCTTGGCGGAGGTGTTGCCGCTCTTTGCCGCTCCTGCATAACTCATCCCCGGGTGTGTGCTAGATGCTCCAGCAGGGCGCCTTCCAGGTGTGGATGCATTTTGGAGAGCAATTGCAGCCACCTTGGTCCTCCTGTTAACCTTGGGGAACTCAGAACAACCTCGGTAGTTCGCAGTATGCACCCCCTGAAAATAACAATTATATTAAGCAAAAAAACCTGAAATGAAATAATAGTGAAATAAAATACAAGTAAAAATAGAACAAAAAATAAATAAAAATGAAAAAATGAACAAGAAAATAAAAATGAAGTTGAGAGATTCCAAGCCACGTTAGTTCACGACGTTTCGATTGTTAGTGTCTACAATCGTCTTCGGGTGATGACTGAGCTGATTTCTTCGAGAGATGACTATTTATAGGCCGTTCGAGTATTCTCACTTATCCCCGCTTTCCATTTTCCGCTTTACTGGTTCCGTGGGAGATGACCTCTTGGCGGGAGTTGGCCATTTTTTGCTTGATGATGGGTTTCCATATGTTAGGTATTTCTACGCTGGCTTGGCTGAATACGTTGTTGGACAACATGTATGCGGCTTCTTTGAATTTTCTCCTAAACCAATGTTCCTCTCTGTGTAAGATCTCAGCTTGGGGCCACTCGATGTTGTGTTTATGGGTCCAAACATGGTATGCTATTCCTGATTTACTAGTTTCCCCTCACTGTGTGTGTTTTTGTGCTTGGCAATGCGAATATTCAATAGCTTCTTAGTTTCACCAATATAGTATTTTTCCCACCCACAGGTTATCCAGTAAATGTAAATTCTTGGAATCGCAGTCCGCGTTTGGTAGACTGGTTTTCGTGAGGCTGCTTCGGATGGTGTTACCGGATCTAAAGCAGGTTCTGATATCGTACTTGGAACCAATTCTTTTTATCTTCTCCGATAATCCTCTGATGTAGGGAAGTGCAAGCACCGGTTGTAACGACTTCTCTTCGTTGCGAGGCTCCTGCTGTCTTTAAGCCAAAGTATTTTCTACCATCGCTTTGGAGTAGCTATTCCGTTGAAGATCATTTTTGATGATGTCTAGTTCCTTCTCGAGACCTTCCTTCGTATTACAGAGCCCAAAAGCACGGTCTAATAGAATCTTGATGATTCCTCTTTTAGTCGATTGATGGTGGTTGGATTCGTGGTTCAGATATTGTCCCGTATGAGTGGGTTTTCGGTATACAGATGTTTCCCACTTAGTGTCGATTCTCTTCACTAAAACGTCTAAGAATGGCAATTCATTGTGGATTTCCTTCTCCATTGTGAAAGTGATGGAAGGTCTCACGCTGTGAGGCGTCTAGTTAAGTATTCCCATGGTTATATATTATGAAGGTGTCGTCAACATGTCTCAACCAGACTCGAGGTTTCTTGTGGGCTTCTTCAATGGTCAGAGTTTCAAACCACTTCATTTATATGCTGGCTATGACTGGTGAAGGTGGTGATCTCATTGGCAGTCCCTCATCTTGTGTAAAGAATTCGTCCTTCAGTTGGAAATAACAGTTTCGTACACAGCATCCTAGTAGTTCCATAATTACTTCTACAGGTAGATTCGTTCTCTCTTTCTGGAGGAACATTGGTTTAGGAGAAAATTCAAGGAAGCCGCATACATGTTGTCCAACAACGTATTCAGCCAAGCCAGCGTAGAAATACGCAACATATGGAAACACATCATCAAGAAAAAAATGGCGAACTCCCGCCAAACGGTCATCTCCCACGGAACCAATGAAGCGGAAAATGGAAAGCGGGGATAGGTGAAAGTACTCGAACGACCTATGAATAGTCATCTCTCAATGAAATGAGTTCAGTCATCACCCGAAGACGATTGTAGATACTAATAATCGAAACGTCGTGAACTAACTTGAAATCTCTTAACTTTATTTTCATTTTCTTGTTCATTTCTTTATTTTCATTTATTTTTTGTTCTTTTTTTACTTGTATTTCATTTCACTATTATTTCATTTCAGGTTTTTTTTGCTTAATATAGTTGTTATTTTCAGCTATTCATTTTTAATTATTCTCTTAGTTGTTTCAAGAATTTCAAATTATTTTATATAGTAGACAATGGAAATCCGAACTAGTGAAATTCATCATGAAACATTGTCAATTACCTTCAAACATAAGACATACACACTAAAAAATCGGCTATTTTCATAACAATATTTAATAAACGATATTCCACTTCAACGGCCTCTCACATTCACCGATCCAGGTGTTACTTTCGACACAAAACTCGTGCCACACATTGAAGCCACTCTGTCTGCTGCAAACAGGATGAATGGATTTATTGCGCGAATCTCCATTTCTCGAATCCATCTACATGCCTTCGTCAGAACAAAATCAGAACTTGCATCCATAATCTGGATTCCATCTCATCAGTTGTATACCAGGAAAGTTGAATCAGTTCAACGTCGGTTCCTAAAACTTCTCTCCTATAGATCAGACAATATCTATCCACCAATTCATTTTCCCATGATGCATTATTAGCTAGACATGCTATAAATAGCTTGAGTTGCCGTCTTGATTGCCACTTCACCATTTTTCTTTTTGAACTGAATAATAATTCAATTACTGACCCGCATATTCCGCAAAAACTGAATTTCAATGTACCTAGACCAACCTCTAGAGTGGTAAATCCTTTTTATCTACCAACACCACGTACACATATTCTGAAACGTTCACCTCTGCATAACATGTGTGTCAAATGTAACTCAGCAAGTTGTCAGCTCGATATTTTTTACTGTTTCATCTCTGCGACTAGATATTTTTACTTCAGCTAATTATATAGGTATTGTTTTTACGTTATGATTTATTATGAAAGGTATTGTAATTTGACTTATATTCATGTTCTGAAGTTGGGTGTAACCTGTAGAACAGTGTATAAATAAATAAATAAATACATGAATAAATATATACGTTTCAGAGCCTTCTGAAGAAGTAACTATCATCAAAGCCATCAGATATCTGAACTTTATGACCTGCCTCCGTTTCGTACCTTGGGATGGAAAAAGTAAAGACTACCTTCTGATCTGGCCAATAAAGTATCCCAAAGGGTGTTGGTCCTTCGTCGGTCGATTTGGAGGGGCCCAGATTGTCAGCCTGCAGGCGCCCGATGCGAGAGGACCTAATTGTCTTGGGACCGAAGGAAGAGCTATTCATGAACTGATGCATGCGATTGGAATTTTCCATGAGCAGTCCAGATGGGATAGGGATAAGTTCGTGAAGATTCACATGGAAAACATTGTTCCGCGTGAGTATTCTCAAATTACCTAATTTATGACTGTGAAGTTACAGCGACGAAAATATTCTGGAAACTTATTCATTTTCATTTTTCTGGAGTAATTTTTTTTTTAATAAATCTGTTTAGACTCTTATTACTTTTGGTGCAATGGATCTTTTTACTTACAAATTTTTGGGTTGCTAATGGGTAATTTTATGTCACCCACTTGTGCAGACTTTGTCATGGCATAACTACAAAATATATGCATAAAATATTGTTATTTTCATTGCCTTTTCTCAATGATATGTTGACGATATTGGTACTTTCATTCCAAGAAATAAACGAACTTAAATATTAGCTACTTACTCTTGGAATTAAAAAAAAATCGTTAGCCTTTCTAGATACTAAAATAATTTAAGATGCAAACCGAATTCTGAAGGTGGACTGGTATCATAAACCAACTTTTTCAGAGTGATTTTTAAATTATTTTTCAAAACATAACTTTCACAGTAGAATCAACATTATGAGGAATTTACAATCAGGGAATTACCTAGTGAAAATTAATTTTCTTGGAGCCCTTATTGAAAAATTGAATGAAGAAAGCAGTTTCACTTCCCAAAGTACAGGGGTAAAACCCAAATATCACAAAATTCCACAAATATCACAAATTAAAGTGGCTTATTCAAATGAAAATACAGTTGAAAAGCATTTTTTCTCGAAACAAAAACATCACAAGACATACAATCCAATATAGTGTACAAATTTAACTGTGGAAGCTGTCACAAATGCTAAGTTGGCCTCTATTGGGATCTTCTGAACACAAACTCATTTCAGTGTTGAGTGAATATATGTTGGGGAACAATTTAAGGCGCGCAAAGTTTGGCATTACGAATCAGATGAATGGAAGGATTTTCTAAACCATTTCCGAAATTTCCACTGGCTAGATATTTGTTTCAGCTCTGAAGATTCATCAACTTGTGCTTCTGAAGTCACGGAAGTTATTCTATCATCGATGGAAGCACATATTCCTTTTTCAATGAAACGACCTTCTAATGGCAAACCTTGGATAATTTCGAGTAAGGTGTCGCCTCAAAAAATCTTGCCAACCGCCAGTGGCGCAAAAATCCCAGTGCCAGAAACCGAACTAAGTTTGTTAATGCTTGCAATAACTGCAAACCTAAGATAAATGAGAGCAAATAAATTTATAATCAGAGAATTAGAGATACACTGCTTACCAATCCCAAAGGTTCTAGATCCTTCTGGTCGGTAGCTAAAGCTGTTGATCAGAACTTTACAAAATCCACAATTCCACCACTAGCACAAGCGGATGGTTCAATTGCAACAACAGCCAAAGAGAAAGCAAATCTACTGGCTGAAGAATTTTTATCTCACTGCACAGTAGATTTTCTGGGAAAGGCACCACCAACTAGAGTGGGGAATATGAGTGTAAGCACACAGCACTTAGGCCACATGTGACCCATTGTACATCCTTCCGAAGAGTTGTCCTCCAAGGTCATCGTCCATCCTGTCCTTTCCACGAAGTTGGACAGGACACTAGAAGACATCTCCTTTTTATCGGCAGATGTAGGTCAAGACTCGCCGAACACACACTCTCTTATTGACGATAACATCGGGCACTCGCATAGGACATGCCTGACAGTCTCATTTTCCTGTTCACACATTCTGCATAGAGGTGTGTCCACTTGCTCAATATTATGGAGGTGTTTCCTTAGTTGACAGTGACCAGCCAGGAATCCTACTGTTAAGCATAGATTTTTCATCGTCATCGGCGCTAGCTTCTCAGGGTCGCCCAAGGTGATCCTGGCAAGATTGCATCCTTTGATTCCATCCCATCTCTCTAAGGATTGAGCATGGGTGTAACATTTGGCTGGTTCCGCAATTGTCAAAGTCATCAGGCCGTAGGTGCCACTGGGTCCTAAAATTCTCAGTCCAGCCGCTTCCTTGGCTAAAGAGTAGGCAATGCGATTACCTTTACTCCTGTCGTGCCCTTCAACCCACCTCAGGATAATGTTATTATCTACCGAGGCTTCGGCTAAATCTTGGTGACACTCTAGTACTAGCCCTGAAGTTATAGGTTTTCTGTTCAAGGCTTATAGGGCTTGTCTGCTGTCAGTGCAGATTGTTTTGTTTTTGCCAGAATTTCCTTTCTTGGTTATTTCTTTTGTGGCGATTGAGATACCAGCTAGTTCTGTTTGGACCACGCTGGTATTTCTTCCCATTCTCCACTTGATCCTTAGGCTCAGTGATCTGGAGTACACTCCACATCCTGAGCCTTCTCTGGTTTTTGAGCTGTCTGTATATATGCGTATTGCATTTGTAGCATCTGACTCTGTGTTCTGTTTAATTTGTATTTTTTAGGGTTTATCAAACACAAACCTGGGTTCAATTGCATCACTGGTTGTCTGCAGCAGAGGTTGCGCAGTAAGCGCTTTCCGCCATAGGCCCAGCCTCAATTGACCCATTCCTACTTCGAGGTTTACACCAGCCGTGCGCAATTATACAATGGCCATTAACGCTACCTCCTCAATGTACAGGTCCAGAGGGGTCCGACTCGTAATTAATTCCATTGTCGCGGTTGGTGGCACACCCACTATTCCCGCACTAGAATCCACAATGCCGCAGATTGCTTTTCGACCGCGTCTAGTCAGGCGAATTTTGAAACAGCTCAATATCAACACGGCGTCTGGCCCTAATGAAGTGCGCGTCATCTTACTCAAAAAGTGCGCGAATGAACTCGCACAAACTGATTTACCTGTCTTATAGGAAAGGGATTTTTCCTTCTTGTTGAGAGATTGCTCGCGTTTAGCCTATTCCCAAAAAGGGCAAGAGAAATCATCCTAACAACTATAGACCAGTCGCTTTGCTATCAGTGATATCAAGGAGAAAGTCATAAACCACCATACCCTCAAATATTTGGAAGGCTTCAACATCTTCAGCGATCATCAATATGTCTTTCAGAAACAAAGATTAACAGGCGACCTTCTATTGTATGTTACCCATATTTGGAATAACGCAATCGAGAAACATGGGGAATTAAGAGCTATTACGCTTGATATTTCTGACGCCTTTGACTAAGCGTATGGCTCTTTAGCTTCCTGAAAGAACGTTTCCTGCAAGTGGTCGTCAATGGATATCTCTCGAGTACTTTCACCATCAACGCTGGTGTTTCCCCGGGATCCATATTGTCTCTAACCCTTTTTTTATTGTATATTAACGACTTATTGAAAAAAACCAAAAATCCAATATATTGCTTTGCTGACGACAGCATAATTGTTTCGTCATTACATTTGGATTCCAGGACACATCTTCACAGGCAGCTTCAGTAACGTTTGATGCTTTATAAAGCTCAAATCAGATCTTCTTTAGAATATTGTTCTCATATCTGGAGCTCTGCCACTAAACATACTCAGAAGTTGCTGGATTCCATCCAGAAAAGAACCATCTGCCTGATTGGAGACGCGAACATAACGTGCGACCTTGATAGCCTGGAACATCGAAGAAAGGTTGTAGATTTGTCTCTCTTCTATAGATACTTTCACGGTAAGTGACTTGGCACATTTGATTCCACCAAGAGCGGTACATATCAGAAATACTCGACGGACTGTGGCTGCTCATCGTTTTGAGATTTAACTCAGTACACTTCGAACTCCACTGTTTAATATTTCTTTTATCTGGAGAACTGCGTTTATGTGGAATAAACTTCCAGAGAACGTTTTTACAAATGGATTTAATCTCCAGCGATTCAAACCAATGTGAATCGCTACTTTCGCACAGGTACCGCTCTGAGAGCGCCTTGAGGATTTTTCTGTAGTGCTTGTGTTTTGTCTTTGAAAAAAATAATTTTCTAACTGAATTACTCTCCATTATCACACTGTAAGTATCTTGAAGCGTGTTGTAATCCAACTCTCACCAGTAAGGTATCCTCACGTCATACAATCACCAGAAATTTAAGAAAAACCTCCATATCAACTCTCCAATTAATGTATAGAACTGTTATAATATGTATTTATTCACTTTCTTAAGATTGTTCACAGTAAATATACATGTACATATAGAAATGAATAGTGAACAAATAAAATACATCTTATGAGGCAAAATGATCTGCCTGTGTGTAAGGAATGAGAATACTGAATTGGACATTGAATGAGATTCATGCTTTAAATTAAGTACTGAGATATAAATTCAAAATAGCTACATTTTAAAAGAATATAAATAAATAAAACCAATAAATCTATTGAAATAAGTACTAGATATAGATAAGAATATATAAGTTTAAACTTGACATATTCAAACAGAATATGAAGAATAAAAATAAACTAATGTATAGAATGGGTATTAAGTATGGATAAAAACATAACTTTGAACTGGACACATTCGGACATTATATAAATAAATCAAACAATCAATGGATATAGAAATTTAAATCATGAGGATTCCAGACTACAAACAAATCAATACACAATATATATCCACAATCGTGGAAGTAAGTATTTAAATTTATATTTGTCTATGTATCTCTGCTCGTGGTATATTCTTGACAAATAATTTAATCTTTGTCATACATTTTTTGAGATTTGTTTCGCATCTTAAATTTTCAGGAAGAGAACTGTAGAGTATTTGGTCCTAAATACCGGAAGGATTTCTGCCCAACTGATTTGAGCATTAATGGTATGACGATACTATTATTTCAACGTGTAGCATATTTGTGGTGATAAGTAGTTGATTCTTTTTTGTTTTTATACTGTACATCAGTAATAATTATGAAAAACAGCTGTATGGGATCAAATATTTCAAATTTTGAATAAAGTAGATCGATAGGGTAGTCGTAACCTTTCCGTAGGACATATCTGATGAATCTCTTCTGCATAACCTCAAGGGAATGTAGATGAGTTTTCGACACTCCACCCTAACCAATTATACCATATCTCAGATGGGGCTCTACTTCTAGCTCTACTTCCTTCGCGAGAGTGGATAATTTGAAATTTACACCCTACAACTATTGAGAAATATAAGCTGGGTTTTTAAGGTTCCAACTAACAGAATCCTCAGCGGCTCTCAAGTAGCCAAGCTCGCTGATGGTGTTGAAAAGTCACTCAGTAATATCAGTAGCCAAAAAAGCTGACTCAATATTTTGTGCAAACTTTTTGAAGAAGGTTTGTAACGATGGATTTGGAAAGCTGTTATAGAGGTGAAAATTAATTGATGTAACTTCCTGCAAACTTTCCATGCAAGATTTGGAAGGCGGTTATAGGCGTCAAAATTAATTAACGTGTTTAGTACTGCTTTCCTGAATATTTATGCGAATTAATCGAATTGCAAGATTTCCTGCGAAATTTGTAAAGCGGTCATAGGTTTGAGAGCAATTTGACGTGATTTGTCATGCTTTCTTGAATATTTATGCAAACTATCCGAATGGCAAGATTTTCTGAAGATTTCCTGCAATATTTCCTGCAAGACTTCCTGAAAGATTTCCATGCAAGATTTGGAAAGCGGTTAAAGAGGTCAAAATTAATTGGTGTGGTTTGTCCTGTTTTCCTGAATATTTAAGCGAATTATTCGAATTGCAAGATTTCCTGCAAGACTTTCTGTAAGATTTCCTTGCAAGATTTGGAAAGCGGTTATAGGCATCAAAACTAATTGATGTGGTTTGTCCTGCTTTCCTGAATATTCATGCAGATTATTCGAATTGCAATATTTTCTGCAAAACTTCTTGCCAAATTTCCATGCAAGATCTCCATGAAACATTCCATGGTAGATTTGAAAAGCGGTTATAGGGGTGGAAATTGATTGATACGGTTTGTCCTGCTTTCTTGAATATTTATGTAAATTATCCGAATTGCAAAATCATTTGCAAGATTTCCTATAAGATTCTCATGCAAGATTTGGAAAGCGTTTATAGGGGTGAAAATTAAATGATGTGGTTTGTCTTGATTTCCTGAATATTTTTACAAATTATTCGAATTTGAAGATTTCCTGCAAGATTCTCATGCAAGATTTGGAAAGGGGTTATAGGGGTGACAATTAATTGATGTGGTTTGTCCTGCTCTCCTGAATATTTATGCAAATTATTCGATTTGCTTTATTTCTTGCAAGACTTCTTTTGAAATTTCCATGCAAGATTTGGAAAGCGATTCAAGGGGTGAACATTAATTGATGTGGTTTGTCCTGCTTTCTTGAATATCTGTGCAAATTATCCAAATTGCAAGATTTTCTACAAGATTTCCTGCAAGATTTCCATGCAAGATTTGAAAAGCGTTTGTAGGGATGAAAATTAATTGATGTTTGTCTACCTTTCATGAATATTTATGCAAATTGTTCGAATTGCAAGATTTCCTGCAAGATTTCCATGCAAGCGGTTATAGGTGTGAAAAATCAATTGATGTGATTTGTCCTGCTCTCCTGAATATTTATGCAAATGATTAGAATTCAAAGATCATTGTACCAATTTTGTCATTATTGCTGCAGACGAAATCTACAATTTCGACTCGATAATAAATTGACAACTATCAACTGAATCACACAATCTGAAAGTTGAAATGAATAACAAGATGATTTACTTCTTTTTCAGAATATAAATCAAACTTTGATAAGCAGAGCCTGAAGAATACCACATATAGTTTCGAATATGATTACGACTCCATAATGCATTACGGAAAATTCTTTTTCACTAAAAAGAAAGGAAAACCAACCATCACTCCGAAGCAACCTGGTGTGAAGTCGATTGGTCAAAGAAAAGGAATGTCGAAAGGAGACTGTCTGAAAGTAAACGATTTATACGGATGCTTCAAGAATCCTAGGACAAGGAGGAAATATTATAGTATATGCAACTTCCTAGGAATATGATTTTCTTTAAAACTGAGTTTTATTTATTATGGAATCGAAAATCATAACTGAATAGTACGTTTAAGATGTTTGTTTGAGAATGATGTATGGAATACGATGTCCTACGCGTATTTCACATAAATTAAAGGATGCTGGATGACTTCAATCAAGCACGCTTTTGTACAAAATTTTGAATAATAAAATCCCTCAATATTTGTATCAAAAAATTGGATTTAGGACTGATGTGCATCATTTGCACTTGCGAGGATAAAACCAAAATATCCTTTTGCTATAATTAGGCCACTTTGGGCGACGTCCTTGATGCATTGAAATTGAGGAATAAACAATTCTTATTCAACAACAAATAGTTCCCTGTATTATTTGATTATGTTATTATCATTGGTGGAAAACAGAATTTTCTTTAGAGTTCACAAATTTATATCTGACTCTCCTTTTCATATGCATGTGTATTTATTACTTTTTCAAGAGGACTGTAGAAGAATTGACTGCAGAGTCTAATGGTTCTACTTTTATTAATGTGTTTGCTATTGAAAAATCACTCTGTATTACTTTATACAATGGTAAATAATAAATGTATAATTATTGTCGTATATGATTTGAGTAATAACTTCAAGAATAAAAATCACATTTTTGTGGTCCTTCAAAAATACCTTGAAAAGGCGAAATCATTAACGGGTATTTGTTATTTGCTTTTTCTTTACTTGATTACTATGTTTGCATGTATTGAATCTCTAGTTCTACAGTGTCACCATTAAAGTGCGCACCATTTGGGAAACTTTTTTATCGAAAAGTTTCGATGAAGTTTAACTTCGGCATTTGTTTGTGCATTAAATTTAACTTGAATTGATGTGGCCAACTGCGACCCACTGACGTTCAGTGTTTGTCAAATTCAACTTTTTTTTTGAAAAAAATTGAAAAAGTGCTTTTCTAGATCGAATTCAACAAAAAGTTACTTGAAAAAGTTGTGTCTACGGCAATTTTATATCCATATGCCAAATTTTATGCAACTAGGATAAAGTTAACGTTTTGCTTATTTTTGACAGATATCCCCTTTATTTTAAAAAACAAGTTCGGTTAATTGTCATC